ACACACGATAGATATAAAACAGGGTTTAAGTTTCATTATCATTTGTCAATAAAGGTTCAGTAGACGGAGCCTGGCGAGCCTGGGGAAGCTGGAGTGGTTGTTCCCTGACATGTGGCACACAGGGGCTGAGGTACAGAACTCGACAGTGTGATAACCCGGCACCTATAGGCCTCGGTAAACCTTGTCCTGGATCTGGGCGTGATACTGAAATTTGCTTCCCAGGCCCATGTCCAGGTAAGTTAGATATAACCTTAAGAGTGTTAATCTCGCTTGCACGGCTAGGGGGTCACCTATACGCCCTTGGAGACACAGATATTGTGAACAGGAATTACTAGGTAAGCTAGCTGATACTCGTCACATCAATCACTGAAACATGATAATTAGAGATTGATGCTAAATATTTTTATCATGGTGATTTTGATCTTACATTTGTTTGTGACATGCATTTTCAGCCAAAATGCGGTAAAAACAATAAAATTAAAAACCAACCTCCCTACCTTGCCTTCAGGTGCAAAAAGAATTATCAACAATCATATAATAACAATAATAATAAAAGGACTGAATGGGAATCGAACCCACTACGCAAATTTTATACATGAACTGTTATTTGTCAGTTGTTAGAGCGATGTATGTAGGTCGTTGTGAACGAAAGACACTGTCCTTCAGAGCATTTGTACAGTACTGTGAAAACATGATTTTTGTATGGAATATCTGCTTGTGATGACGTGGGTGGGTTTCACTGTTCTCTCTAGTGAGGAGGTTTTCTGTAGGGAGGACCTTCACTCTTGTGAGGAAGTTCTCTCTACTCAGGAGATTCACTCTAGCGAGGACAATTTCTCTACTGAGGATGCTCTCTGTAGTGAAGAGGTTCTCAAGCAAGTGTGTTTGATTCAATTCGATTAAAACGTGTCAAGTTGTAATGCTTGTGATTTTTTCCAGCTTGCCAGGTCCACGCCGTGCCCGGAACCATGAGTTCGGTATCTGCTCCCAGAATAAACGAAAAGGAATATGTACGTTATTATTGTCTGCCAGATTACACGCATGTTAGTGGCAGTTTGATACGAACGTGTCAGGCAAACGGTTCACTGTCAGGTACAGAGCCGGTGTGCAAGGGTAAGTGCATATTTGTGGGTGAAAAACAGGTCAAAGCATGTCTCGTCCTTGTTATCTAGTATCGGGAGCTGTTCCGTCTCGATATGTGCGTATTGCAGTTTGAACTAGTATATTATGAAGAACATAGTTTTAGTCAAAAGATTTCAAAATGTCATATTAATTAATTGTGCTTTGGCTCGTGTGCTACGTCATGCATTTAATGAAAGTTTCCTATTTCAAAAACATAACCATTGTATTACATATTGAATTGAGTTTATTTCGTATTCCAGTATGTTGTGGCATGACAAAGGCGATTCCTCACGGCGAGCCCAAGGAGTCAGACAATTACGTGTGTGAGGGAAAAGGAGTTGGCTATGTCTGTCACGTGGGATACAGAATATCCAATATGTCTGGGCCTGAAGCTGTGTGCGACTCACAGAAACTGAAAGTTCCTGTTTGTGAGCGTGAGTGTCAAATAGAAGGGTAAAATTCTGAAAAAATAGGATAATCTTGTACAACATTATCCTTTTAAAAGTTAGCCTACCTATCGATGTCCACACGCCTACGATTCCCTTGACATTGGAATACATGGATTAAAAATAAAGTTTTATTTAAAACTATTTTCAACTTTATCCTTTTCTTGCAGCGTCGGGAACATGTGACACGACAGCGCTACGAGACCCTAAACATGGTTTTAAGGTCTGTGAAGACACCAATCTTGGTAAAACATGCCACATGAGGTGTGACGATAAGTATGAATATGTCGCTCGTGACAAAACGTTTTACTGTAATTCCGAGACAGGATGGTCTTGGGGGTTGCCCCAATATGTTGGCGGATTTCTACCGTCTACTAGTGTTGAGGACTGTAAAGGTAAGCTCTTCACATTTGGATATTAAATAATGATGACTTTATTTTACCAGAAGTTCTTATAATTGTTGTTCATGTATATAAGCTATCCAATAAAATACACTTCGTAAATGATTGCCCATTATTTTGTTAGACGCAGCGTACTCAATGTGTAATCTAAAATTTACATGGGAAATTATATTTTCAAATTGAGGATGGTGCCATTTAACTAATATTTTGGTAGATTGTGTTTCCAAACTTTACAAATCAACTGCGCGAATGGTCATTTATTGCTGAAATGTGTCGTTTTTAGTGGGGGATATTCTAGGGGTAGACGGTGGTTTGGATGGGATAATTGCTGATGTTCCTTTGTATGGACACTCCGAAGAAAATCAGATAAAGACAGAGGTTGCTGATGGTGTTAGGGCCAAACTAAAAATACTTGGAAAATGCTCCAAATCGTGCGAGGTAAGAAAGTCTCATGTTTCCAGTGGGGAAATGTTTTACATGTCATTATTATGGATACACTTGATGTGCAATTGAAATTCCGAAGTAAAAATAATGCCTGGAAGTATAACAATTGTGTTGCCGAAGGTCACGTGCATGTCCATATCTGATAAAACATTCTTCTTGTATGGGATGAGCTTGTGATATTATGGGTGAATATTCTATTAAAGCGCCCTTTGGAATCTTTTAGGTCAAGGACGTCCAAGTTAAGCGAGCAGGGACTGTAAAGCGGGACACAATGGTCACTTTTAACATAAGGATCGTGCTCCACATCCGCGGTGGTGACACAAATGCAAGCTCACTTTCTGAAGTTAAAGCACACGTCATAAGACTGGCAAAAACAATGCAGTGGGTATCAATGGTTGGCGCGAACGTAACCTTAAAGATACCTGTATACACTGTAGCTGTCCCGAATATCATCTCAGTTAAGCATCTCATGTAATTTACAATTAGCTGCAGATAGTAACTGAGTTTATGGTGCATTTGTCTGAGCTCAGCTGAGTTCATCTGCTGTCTTTTCTTATTTAAGGTCTACGGCGTCTGCTATCAAACATGCCCTGCAGTCTACCCCTATAGCAATCTCTGTGAACGGCCAATATATGGACTTACAAACCGACAACTTGGTGATAAGTAGACCACGGACAGGATGTCGCATGGGGTCCATTAAACGTGGAATCAAATGCTGTGAGTTCCTCCTGTGTATGATATTTATTATATTAGATGTCTGTGGTATGTAACCTTTAAAGGTACATTGAAATGTCTTCCACATTATGGGATTAACTTTTTGCATTCTTTTCGGAGAGCAACCAGTATGTAAGAACTACTTGTCAAGCAAAAATTGGATGTCAAATTTGGCAAAAGTCAGAATTAACGTTTTTTTATGAAGGTATTAACGTTCTTTATGGTTGTATTCATAAAGGTTAGAAAATCATCCTTAAGCTTCGCATCATAATTCTTAACATCTAATGATAGGAGACAAGCAGAGAAATAGCGTCCACATTCCACTGCAATTTTTTACCGCGTAAAATAATAAGACCAATCATTTCAGACCGTTGTCCACGTGGTACTTATCATGATGCAAATGATGGGGATTGTCTGTCTTGTCCGTTTGGACATTATCAGGACAACCCTGGGCAAGTGTCTTGTATCCGGTGTCCTAAAGGCAAAACAACTGATAGAATTGGGCTATCAAACGCCACTGAGTGCAAAGGTACAGTATATGATACTCGCGTTTGTAATTTTTACATTTTGTTTTGATATACAAATACATGGGGAGCTTTGTTCTCCTCTCACTCGTTCTCGTCCTGCCTGTTCCCCTGTTCAACCTTACTTAATGAGACTTCCTAAAGTGTTCCTCTTGTTTTTACATTTGTTCATTTGGCTGGGAGAAGTGTCATAAATTGGCTTTTCCTGGGGGAAACGACGTTTTTTCCATAGTTGAATTCATTCCAACATATTCAAAGTTAGTCTCTGTTTTTAAAAAGTCTGTTTCTTTTCGGAGGATTGCCAGGCATGCATAACAGCGAAACTTATACTTTTTACCACTAGAGTATTTCAGTTGCGACTGTGGTATCCACCCTTGTGTATTGAATGGCTCAACATTTACGTGCAAATGTCTTTCGGGATATATCTTAAAGAACGGAACATGCAAAGGTAAAACTTATCCAATAGAATAATGAATAAAAGACCTACTTTAAGTTTACAGATGTGTATGTTTTGAAATGTGTTGAAAATTAGCTCTGCGACACGATTAAGACGATTAAAATATCTCCATATATCTTCATAAATGTATAATTTGCATGTCACATTAATTAACTATTCAGTTCCCTTTAATACTTGTATTGTTCTCATCAATAGATATAGATGAGTGTGCCACCAAGAACCCTTGTCCAACCAATTCCCGTTGCGTTAATCGAGAGGGTTCCTTCCGATGCCAGTGTTTGCCTGGATTCCAAGGTCGCAACTGTGAAGGTGCGGCTTTATATTCCATACTACTTCGAAGGGCAACTATTGCTTTCTTACAGTATAGCTCTATTTTTATAGTCGAGAATAAGGGAATTAAGGTAAATGCGAAATGTGAAAAAGTTGTTCACAAATATGTTCTTTGACAGAGTGCAGCATGATTGGTAGAAGCTATATATTGTGCGTCGAACCCGTGAATTGCAAACTGTTATGTTTCCTTTGCATAATATTCAGGAAATACACACATAGAATGTTTCCGATTTCAGACATTGATGAATGTTTGAAGACGTGCAATGGCCCTCACCAGATATGCGTTAACACTGTTGGTAGCTTCCGGTGCAACTGTACAGTGGGATATTTCGGAGACAGCTGTGGTCAGTGAATTAATCATTTTCAGAAGGACATGAAATAATTCGTATCTGAACCTGGAACGTACTACAATTAAATGATAAAATAGTAGTCCTCGATGTTTTAAACGCAAAATTGTACTTGTACAAACCAAAGTGTGTGTTATTTAGTTTCAGTACTTCAGATATTAACCGGTACCATAATGTTGATGGAATTTTGCGTTTTGAACTGTTTTATTTTTTAGATGATTTATGTCCAAATGGCTTCATTCCTGTGTCTGATTCATGGTGTGTGCACATCTTCAATACCTCAAACCCACAAGACGAGCGCCTGAACTACGAGAACTCCACCTCGGCGTGTGCTGCCCTCTATCGGCAGGCACGTCTGGTGACCATTAAGACTAAAACCGAGTATAAACACCTTACAAAATTGCTGGCGTCATCGAACATAGAACACTGGATAGGTGGGTGCAGAATATACATAAATATGATCTATTTGCTTAATATGTATATTTACATAAATTATAGTACTGGTATTGGGCACAATTGTTTATACTCAAATGTTGATGGAAGCATGGCTTTAGTGGGAAATGTAACCTAGTTGCTTCGCGTATGTGTAAAATGCACGTAGGATATAAGGGGAAGTTGCAGCGCGTCATGTATTCGAATATGATAAATGCATATTTGAATATTGTAAATTACTGTCTTATATTGTGCTTCCCCACCATGTTAGGACTTAACGACAGGGCACAAGAGGGTCACTTTGTTGCCAGCGATGGCTCCATGCTTGGGAGCGGCGATTTTACTGAGTGGGCACCTGGCAGGCCATCCACGAATACATCAACCAACTGCGTCGTCATGGGCGGGAAAAGCGATGCATATATGTGGCGAGACGCTGGCTGTTATGAAGCAAAATCGTTCCTTTGTGAATTCAGGCGCAAGTCTGGATTATCTCCCATTATTGGTTAACTTGCTTAATTTTCAAGGACTGTCCACACTGTTCCTCAATAGACAGTTTTGCTCACATTTTGAAAAACTATGCAAGTGTGATGGATATGTCTGGTAAACAAAAGGAGCGTACCTCACTTTAGACCTTGACACTTTATACTTTAGACGATATCTTAGTGGGCATGTCACTTTGTCTTACTTTGGGTGTTTTTTCTAGCAAACATTTTGACTTGAAACCTTCGGTAATATCTTCTCATATTCATAATCTAAAGCTGTTGTGCTGGGATAAGACGATTTTGAGTTTCACCTGCAGTTGTAAAAATTGAAAATCAAATTTTGAGATATTTTTAATTCACACGATATAATGGTCCAACAATGGCTTAATCCGTGTTTGCAGGATTGGTATGGATGATTGATCACTTATTAAATATGTGTTGTTCACTGTATGAACAATGATATTATCAATTGTTATTCAATTAATTATAAGAACGCATCAGCTTTTTATAAACGTATATACGTATATGCATATATATTTACAATATTATATTTATGTCTTCAATTCCAATAAATGCATATATATAGTCCTGCTTGAAACGTGCTGGTGACACTGTTTGACAAAGATACAAGTAGGAATGCATGATTGTGACTGGTAAAGAAGTAAGTTTAGATAATTTAATGGACATGGTATTAATTCCTCTTTTGCAATGTTTCCATTTTCACGAGCAATTTTTTTTTTTGACAAAAGGCGTTCGATAAAATCATTTGACAACCCTTTAACTATGGTAAGGTTGCATGTCGTTTTGTGAATAAGTTAAACTATGGAATAACTGCTCCGGCTAATAGAGCACTTACACTGCGTCCGCCCAAAACACAGATGCAACGCTCATCATTTCAGATGGCAGGATTTAAAGATATACCAACAACGGGTCAAGTATATTGTAACATAGTTCCCTTCACCATGGCACAATTGATGACCTCTTTAACAACCAAATTAACCACGCGCGTGTTTGTGTGTGCGTATGTGCCCATGTGATGAATTAATGATAAATATGATAAGGATCTTATGTTTTATATACATACTGAAACTTTTTAAAGCATAAATATGTAATTATAAAATATGTAATTATTTTGTGCTATAAAAAATCGGAGACGTTGGAATTGTATCATCACTTGGGTGAAAAGACGGCAACTTTTTCACTCACAATTTACCAGTACAGTGAGAGCTTTGAAATGAGGGTAAAACCTTGTTAAGTGTGAACAACTTTACATATATTTCTGCCCGACAATGTTTTCCATGTTATTTCCTTTAAGATTATAGAGCATGCACTACTTTAAACATATTTCTAACAGACATGTGCAAATTTTACCATGTTATTTCCTTTAGGATTATCTCCTTTGTACTGAAAACAGGTTATCTTCCAGAGTATGAACACATGTGCGTCAATCTTTTCTATTTAGACACTGTTCCATATTTGATTTCAATAGACATGCCCATCCGTGTACCAATATGACTTGGTGCTGGATTTTGACGACACTTTTACTTCTGATAGCGTGCACCATTCAGCCCGGCAGAGGCGCGGTGTACTGCCCGCCCTATTCGAACTACTTTGAATGGGTTGGTCCATATTGTTTGCGTTTTGAGAACTTCTATAAGAAATCGTGGTACGATGCAAAACGTGAATGTGAGGCGAAGGGAACACATTTGCTGGTGTTGGAAACCACAGGAAAACGGGACGAAATCATACGTTACTCAGAAAATAAGGGAAGTAAGTATAACCTTCTTCGTAATGAAATTATGGTAATTTGTAATGTTATTTGTAATTTCCATAAATGCAATTTTATAAAGGACAGGTTAATTGTAATTTCCATAAATAAAATTTTAAAAAAGGACAGTTTTAAGGTATATTTGCCATATGTTTCTCGACAACATACAGGTCTGTTGTAGCTTTAAAATAAATCTTCAACATAGCGATTCGATTGCAATCGCAAATTATTTGATAGCAATTGCGAAGGATTTTATTTCAATTGCATTTGCTTAAATATACCAAAAACAGAAGGGCAATCTTGACAAGCAACATTTTTTCAATCTTAACAAACAATATTTTGCTACTCAAATCCAGATATTTGAATATTTCTCACTCATATTTCAGACTGGGAGTATTATTGGGTAGATGGAACCAAAGTGAACGGCAAATGGATCTGGAGCTCGACAAGAAAGCCACTTTCGACAGCTCTGTGGATGCCAGAAGAACCAAATGGCGATGGCAGTTGTATGCAATACTATAGCGATTTTAATGATAGGCAGAAAGGCCCAAAAGGTCTAAATGACCGAAGTTGTTCTTTGGCGTACGAATTCATATGTGAAGACGATTCGGGTGAGTAATAATTAAGAAATACTTCATTGCAATTAGAAGAACATTACTTTAGTGAAATATTTAACACTGAAGCTAAAGGTACAGGAAATATAATAATGTAAGATTTAAGTAACGGATTTGAAAAAGGATGTCAAACAAATAAACACGTACTTTTTACTAAAAATTGTAATAACAGAAAAGGAAGCAAATCTGCATTTCGAATAGAGTGATCCAGCTCTAAATACAATGACCACACAAAAACTGGATATGGAAGACGTTTTCAAAAATATATTTTAAATTCTTACACCTTTTTTTCTTCAGTCAACAGCATAATATTGAAAACGTTTTCACCTCCAATATTTCGATGTCTAGCAAAACATCTTCATCAGAGAATGAGGCTATCCAGGTAAAAACCTTTTCAGCATTAAGCTGTTGACTGAAGAAAAATTACTTCGTTCTTATAACATAACACAGCTGATGAAATTCTTCTCTGTCTGTCTGTTATCTAGTTAATGGCATGTGGAGAGCCTGGGGAAGTTGGAGCAGCTGTTCGGTAACCTGTAGTTCAGGGCAACGCTTTCGCACTCGTGTCTGTGATAATCCCGCACCTAAGGGAGCAGGTGCCCCCTGTAGTGGCCTTGACCGACAAACTGAACCCTGTCACCATAGAACGTGTCCAGGTACGTGACTTATTTTTACTGGGGAGGAAACAACCGAGTTATAGTTCCAAGGACAGTGCTCTAGTGAGCGTGACATCTCCCAGACACACATTTATGGTCGGGTGCTTTCCTTGCAGTCGCCTTATGTTGACATTTATCGAATATATTGTTTTCCTTCCAGTGTTGGTTTGAGCATATGGCTTTAAATATTTATATCACCCTGTTTTTCATATAGTCGATTCACATTTATATAGGGTTATCTAAAACCGAATTCATACATATTGTCACAGTCTGCAAAGCATTACACTTTGATAAAATTTTCTTCAAACTTCGTAATAGCTTAAATGTCTTATATGAAGACGAATTGAATATGAAACATAAAAAAATTAGAATTGTTCACTTTGGACATTAATGTTGATAACTACAGTGGACGGAGCCTGGAGTGTCTGGACACACTGGTCAACGTGCAGTAAAACATGTGGTCAAGGCCACAGGACAAGACACAGGGCGTGTAATAGTCCACCTCCAACCAATGGTGGCAAGGACTGCCCAGGACAATTAGTTCAGGTCGAAACGTGCAAAGGTCAGCCGTGTCCAGGTACGTGTACGGGGTTGGTATTCCGATATAGTAAATCACATAAACCAGCCATCCATATTAATCATACTTATACGTGGATTGCAATTTGGCTCTAAAATTTTATTTATACTTAACTCAAACTAAAAACATGCATTGTTCTTTTCATAATCACGGGTATTTCTGCTTGCATGATATATATATATATATATATATATATATATATATTTTTTTTTACTTGGTATTTCTAGGATTCCCCATAGGGGAATACTATTGTTGTTGCTGTTCTAATTATTATTATTATTATTATTCTTATTAGGATTCCCCATAGGGGAATACTATTGTTTTTCCTGTTCTTCTTCTTCTTCTTCTTCTTCTTCTTATTATTATTTTTCGTCAAAAAAATTCTTTCTAAAATTCTGAAAAAATTCATACTGATAGCCTATAAAAAGTTATTCCGGTCCATCCAATTTCATTGACCTTGACCTAATTTTCAAGGTCACAGAGCCTTTTAATATGAACATTTTGCAATTTTCAAAATACAATATCTCCTAGAATTTTCAACATTTTGACAAATCCTTTCATAGATGAGGTCACTTAATGATTTTATATCATGTGACCCAATTTTAGGAAAGTAGGTCAGGTCAAGGTCAAAATTATTGTATGATATGCTCCAAATGGTTGACATTCGGCAGGGGGTAAACCAGATGTCACAGAGCCACAAGGATGATATAGAAAGTTGCCCTGTACATGTATATCTGTCCAGTGCAGTCGCTAATAATATTGACAATTGACTGATTAGATTTTTTAATATAAAATTTTAAATATTAATAATTTCACAGAAATAGTGACTTTGTCAATTTCTCCATGAAATCCTGATTTTTTGTGATAACATGCTATACCCCAAACCTTGACCTTCAATTTCAAGGTTATTTGGACATTTCAAGGTGACATATTCACTTGGGCTAAAACTTATGTATTGTTGACCCACCTCCCCTAATCCACATATGCTCTTTCAGAATATGGGATCAGAATTAGCACATGGCCTTGTAATTGACCTTTCTTCAAGGTCATTCCACCTCTATTTTGCAGGGGAATCCTCAGCCACTGGCTTCAGCCAGTTGCAGTCTAGTTTTATTTATTTCAGCCAAGCTCTGCCCTGCTGGGTTCACTGAGGTAACCAACAGTTTGTGCCTGTACATCTCCGACCCAAAGACAGAGGCATACAATTATTTTCTGTCTATGAAGGTGTGTGCCTCGCTGTCTCCACTGTCTCGCCTGATGACAGTAAAGAACACATACGAATATCATAACATGGTCAGGTTCTTGACTACAGCAACTGAATACTGGATAGGTAAGTCTCAGCCCAGTAAGTGAGGGATAGATAAGAGTGCCAGCGTATTAACGATTTAACAAAAGCTTGTCATGATAGTCAAATATAATAATAATAATAATAATAATAATAATACATTTTAAACTACCCTATTACAAAATGATATGACTGATCTGTTTCTGGAAATGTTATCCCGTCATCTGTGACATGAAACGACTTTATCTGTGAAATTTACATTTCAAAATAATAATAAACCTTAGTAAAACTGGCAATGTAAAATTATTATCTAATCAGGTGATGACACTACAAGCAGCAGTGATGCCAGTACCAAGCTCGGTGGTGGAAGCTTCGCTCTCTGGGCAGCTGGATATCCGTCCTCGCTATCCCTTGGCAATTGCGTTGACTTAAGCGGAAAGAGTGGAGCGTTTCTGTGGCAAGACGCCCCTTGCTGGGAAAGAAAACCCTTCATTTGCGAACTAAGACCCAAAGATGGAATGGCACCTATTGTTGGTTAAATGGCAAAAGTGTTAGAGTTCATAGCTCATTAAATAGCTCAATTGCTTTGATGAAAATATCTTTGTCCAAGCACACAGCATGGTGGATAGCAAAACAATAAATTTGTTAATTGGAATCATGCAGACGTTGAACTTTTGTTGAAATATTATATTTACTTGCAATATCATTGATTGCAAATGACCGTCTGGCGAGAATATAGCCCTAAGGTAACACATTCCATTTCCGATGTGCTAAGCACAATACGCTGTTTACAGAAACCTCTCGGCTGGATGGAACCTACGGTACAGGGTTGTTATCAGAAACTGGCCGTACTCAGAACAGTGGACTAACTGTTCTGCGGGTCAAATATAGCGACCCACTAAAAACCTTGTTGTCTAATCCTCTGATAGTCACTGAATAGATTCCCCATGGGGACGTTTCCAAGTGGGTCGGCCATATTTGACCCTCGGACTAGTTAGTCCACTGTTCCGAATGAGCTCTTAATGCACACACCCCCTCCTCGGCAAGCTCGGTGGATCATTTATAGTTTAAATTAGGAGACATATCCCACTTTTAGCACCACAAACATTTAGCATCTTATCTGCCTGCATTAATTGTGCAATTAAAAATATCGCCAGACAAATCACACGTAATTAAATTCTCCAATCCCATGTTGGATGTGAGCAAGATTAAATGAATCATTCCCTGTACGTGTGCACGAGCAAAATCCGCCTTGTTTCTATGTAAACACTAGTTTCTTTAGTAAACGGTGTCTTAGAACCATGTCACAAACACAGACACAAACTCCTTTTTTACTTCACTGGTACGTGTGACCCCATCTTCGTCATTTAAATGCTAGGGGACCATTCCCAGACCCTGTGGATCTGTGGATCGATCTATCTCAGAGGGGATTCTCGCTTAATTGCTATCAACTTAAGCGGTTTAAATGTCTGTCACGGGGTAATTAACTATCGTTTAGCAGCTTCAGTAGGCGTGTCAGACATCTAAGCCGCTTAAGCTGAACGCAATTTCATGAGAAACCCATTGGAGATGGATCGATCCCGTTAGATCGATCTAGGCATGGGAACCCAGTCTAGGTCTGTACCTGTTTACCAGGACGTTTGTCTAGTTTTTTGTAAAGTTTTGCGACAGCTGTTATCAAACGTCTGCTAATTGGTCGCTTAGTTTGCTAACATTCCACCGTTGATTCAGATCTTACCTTACACCTACACCAACTACGAACGCCATTAATCCCATGCAGTTAAAAAAAGGCCAATTTATTCAACTGAGTTGTCCTGAAAAAACTTTGCTCCCCTATTTACACTGTAAGTTGTGTATTCATTACACCATTAGATATCACTGCAAACAGCGATACCACAGGTGTTGAAAATATCATGGAAGACAGCAGTAAAAAGGGGATATTCCTCTTCTTGTTAGTAGTTCTCGTTTATTGGGTCCATTTTACGCAAGGGTAAGGTGATTTCACAGTTTTGTTTAGGTACTGACACACGCGTAAACAAACGCACACATACATGCAAATCCACGGATTTTTAGCATTTTGTTTGATAAAGCAAACGTTCAAATGATTTTAAGTGTATGGTTAATTTATTATTTATTGTAATATCTAAAAGTATTTTTTCAGTATACTCTTGAAATATAATCATGTTAATTTCGCTTCCCCCAAAACATTTGCTGCGGAAGATGCGTACATATTTGCAGAAAACGAAAAAAGTTGTAATGAAATGCAATTTAATGTTAACAGCATTTTGCAGTTATTGCGCTGTCTGTTCTCACATTTCATAATTTCTACACAGGGCGTGTTATCCACCAAGGTACGGTATACAGACCCGCAGCACTCGTCAACGGTACACCACGGGCTGCGGCTTCTGGGGCTGGGGACGATGTTCAAGATACCGGTAAGTCGCTGTTCAAAGAAATGTGCAGAAACCTCACGGACGCGATACGCGGTTTAAAATATATATTATGGTACAGTGGAGTTTAGTATAACGAAGGTTTTTAGGCGTTTTGGAACTTACGTACGCTACAAATAAATTCTGCTTTCGTGGAAAACAAAGTTAAGGCAATTCACATGCATATGTTAATGCATATTCTATAAATTTTCAACTTTTCGTTTTTTAACTATATCACTTACTATACCATTTATAAAATAGAGGATACGATGTTTGTTTATAGAGTGATTGCTTTATTGGGTGGTTGATCATCATAATGTGTACATGTAGAGTTATTTAACACAATGTTCATAAGTCTATGATGATTAATATTCACATTTATTCGTGTAAAAATATTGCATGATGCTATCATTTTGACTAAAGAACTGTGCATCGTTTGTTGCGTGAGTGGTGAAGTTCACCTCTAAATATGCGGACGCGTTTCTGTATCACCGAGACATTTAAAAAACGGGTCACTCACAACCTGTTACCATGCACTCAGTTCTGTATCAGAATAAAAGAATCTGGTCATGCCTAACGTAGAATGATGTTTACATATTATTCCGAACGTCCCAAATGAGCTTCAATATTTGTTTTTCAGAGAGATGAGTATACTGATTTTAAAAATGTTGTCTTCAGCTCATTTTTCATTTTTCTCATATATTTATTTATTTATTATCATTTCTCTACTCTTCGTAAATGAGGGTCAACTTGTGTCTGTAATATTCTAATATCATGCCAGAAACTTATACCTTTACGATCCACTAAATATATTTACTCACTCATTTTTCAGATATGTAACAACATATCAATGTGTGTTTTTGGCAGGTACGTACACGTGATTTGATATTGGAGAAACTTTTTATACAGGAAAAGTGGAAAGTGTCTGTGTCAGTTCCTATACAAATGATGGTGTTGTATTGGTTCCAGTGACTACCATAGACTCTATATAGTGCAGTGCCGTCCGCATGTTGAGAAATTTTGATGTGCTTTGTAACATCTGAAATAAGAATACATGTATACGCGTCAGTCGTTACGAAAAATAATCATACAATACATATCTTTTCCCAATCATACAATTTTAAAAGTGTGCACGGCAACCTGTTGTGCTTGTTTTAAATGGTCCTTATTGATCTCTTTTTTAAAATTTACGATTTATAAAGACTGGTCATCCTACATCATCTGCGTGGAATGCCCTATAACGAATATGATACATAAATTCTACCAACTGCACGTGTTAATGGGTTCCGCTGATTTGTTGTCGAAATCGGTAGTAGGCCTATGCATTTTAAACGCGCAGTTTAAAGTTTTACTTCAATACACGCATATTGACAAATTTATACCTGCAATTAAAACAAGATACTGGAAAGTACAATGCACCGTGTTTGCTGACTTCTTCGTGATTGACTTCTTCTGGAGACAATCAAATTAATGATACATTTACCTTGCAGTTGACGGAGGCTGGGGTGCCTGGTCACACTGGTCAGCGTGTGGAAGCTTCTGTGGTCAAAGCACCAGACTGAGGCTACGATCATGTAATAACCCGCATAAACAAAATGGCGGCCGTGACTGTGTCGGGAGTAATGTTCAAAAAGAGTCGTGTGACGAAGGGTTTTGTTCAGGTAAATGTTGTGTTGTGTTGATTGGTTAAAATAGCTGTCACCTGCAAACACAACACAAAATGCGTCTGATAGAAATTTATAAAACTGCTATATGAAAAACTAGCGAGCAAAATGTTTACAGTAGTACATTGAAATGAGGAGACTTCTCCTAGTTCCCCATGAATTTATATGGGCAAATACCATATAAGAATGCACGTCCGCTTTGCTTTGAAATAGTACTTAAATTTAGTTTTGTCGACGGTCATGAAGCCATCAACACTAATAAAATGAAAAACTTCATTTCAGGATCGCCTTGTCCTAGTGGTTTCACTAAAATCTCAGAGAACTGGTGTCTGTACATTTCCGGTAAAAATGTACTAAAAACCTACAGCGATGCCAACACGTTCTGCACTTCATTGTCAAAACACGCACGCTTGGTGACGATCAAACATAAAGCAGAACAAGATATAATCGTTAAAAAGTTGCCAGCACATGCTGATTGTTGGATAGGTAGGTGTGATCCTTTGATTCAGTTTACTTATGTGATCCATGCGAATTCCGGCTGGTCTCTTGCTATATGGCACTCAGTTCGATGAGTGTAGTTACCTCACAGGATGAATTGATATGTCAATATAGTTTTAGAGTTATTTCATACCTATTATGTAACTTGTAACTGCATATGACAATGAATTCTAGTGTGACTTTATAAAGGGTTATCCCTATACATTTTCACTATGCATATATGATCAGCTGATTTAGCTGTAATCGCATAATTGGAGGGAAAATGTATCCCACTTAACCAAGTTCTTAATACACTTTCTGAGAAACATATGCAATGCGAGGTATTGAACTTCGATTTTACCTTGTTTTGAAATCACTTTTATAATACACAGCCCGTGTCGGCCGGGTTTTTAACTAGGTTTCTTCGTTACGTTAAAGTGAGTTTTAATATATCTGCATACAGAGAGCAATGAGGATTCCTCGCTGTTAGCTTTATTTTAACGGTAACTACATGTTAGGATTTCCGCTGTGTTAACTAGGTCTAGACGACAGGACAACCGAGGGACAGTTCGTGTTCAGCGACGGCACCAAATTAGGGCAAGGGTCCTTCACCCACTGGGAAGAGGGCAGTCCTTCCAAAAGTACGTTGGCCGACTGTGTGTTCATAGATGGGAAGGGAGCTGGATACATGTGGAGAGATACCAGGTGTGAGGAGAGGAAAATGTTCAGCTGTGAAATTCGAGCAAAAATGATATCAACCTCCTTAATTGGCTGATCCGTTTATTGATTCCTTTGCACCCAACGGATTTTGTTATGTTGTCGTGTTGTGAAAGCGCTCTTGTGTGTAGAATTGAATACAAATCCCAACAGACAAACGACATTGATTCACCGTTGAATCAACGTTAATTTTGGTGGATCAACGCTGAATCAACGTAGAATCAGTGTCGTTTGCCTGCTGGGAATGCTTTATTTAAAAAGCAGAAGGACTGTTTTTAATCCAACTGCAACGCTCACAAGGCGTTTAAACATTGCTATGCCACTCAGTTTCTTATAATTTGCCGCACATGTTGGGCTAAATATTTGGTGACCATTGGTTTACTTGGTGACTTCTTTAGTTGTACTGATTATAAATCTGCCTATCCAATGTATAGGCTTTGCCTGTAGCACAAATATTGTAACATAGTAAATCTATTCACAATTACAAAGTGAAACTTATACACTTTAAATAGTTAAATACTTACTCGCTGAATGCGTTTCTTCCATGTCTTTTTTATCCAAATTCTGTAATAAGGTTTATGCGTACATTGTATGGGCATCTTGTCTTTTTTAAACCCCGCGTTGTTTTAAATGAATCATTGTTACACTGTAGGTGCTTGACTTTCTACTGTAATTAGTATATCTATCGCTTATCATTACCATAATATCATATCCTTTGGCTAGTAAAGTACTAAAACACCTGAATGCATTGTATCTTTGTTTGGCAGAAAATTCATATTTTATTTCAGAATGTATGCTGTAAAGGTTTAATGTGGATTGGATAAAATTAACCCAAGCTTATGTGTCAACCATGCGTGAGCTAAACAATGTTTTATCTATATACATCGCCATTATATTGGGTTACTATATACACATGTATGAAAGCAAAAAAAAGCGAGCTGCTGTATTGTGAGCTTTTATTACTGTCATCTAGTCACCAAACAAGTCTTGGTCTCCGGAAAAGAGGCTATTCCCCTGAATAGCCTCATTCCCTGATGAAGATTTTCTGTCAGACATCGAAATATTGAGGTAAACTATTTCAATATTAAGCCGTTGATTGAAAATGAGTTACTTTATTCTTGCAAATAGTTATACTTGTAAAGTCAAAACGTAAATGCTCAATTGCCTTTTGCCTTGTCTACATTCCTGTTGCTGCATAAACGTGTGATCTATAATGTTTGTCTTTAATTGTGTTATTATTCTATCACACCAACGGATCTTTCGTTAAGGATACGGGACCTTGATGATTCATGTCAATTCACCGTATAGATCTTAATGAAAATATAAGCATATTATTAATGATGCATCTCCGAAGATCTACTTTACAGATGTCAAATATTCACCGTATATTTGACATCTGTAAAGAAGATCTTCCGAGATGCATCAGTAATAATGCTTATAGATACGGGACCTGAAATGGATATGAGGGAAATATGCATTCTTTCAGATATAGTCCTATAAGTTTCCTTTTTTCGGTCCAGTTTCTGTTGATTTGGTAAAATACGATATACGATGTATATAAAATATATGAGAGAGAGAGAGAGAATGAGAGGAAGAACTTTAAAACAAATGTGCGAGAAGGGTGCTTCCAGTTTTTATCTTTATTGTATGTCATCCAATATGTGATTTACGTCCACTTTCAAAAATGACAGCCATACGAGCAATACGATTGAAACGACAGCTTTGCCATTTTAACCAACAATAGGCGCGAGTGCATCTTTGGGTCTCAGTTCACAAATGAAGGGTTTTCTTTCCCAGCAAGGGGCGTCTTGCCACAGAAAAGTTCCACTTTTCCCACTCAAGTCAACGCAATTGGTAAGGGAGCGAGCAGACGGAAATCCAGCGTCCCAGATGGTAAAACTACCAGTCCCTAGCTTGGTGCCACCGTTGCTCAAAGAACTACTGCCGCTTGTAGTGTCATCGCCTGGTTAGATAACAATAGTTGTTTTATACTGCCAGTTGTACTTAGGTTTGTAATTTTTATATCAAAATATCTTACAATAAACCCATCGATGACCGGATAAAGTGCCGAGACGTTTTTGTAGCGCAGTTTTTAGCAATGCATTATTATCGTAATAGTTATTATTCTTATAGTTGTTGTTATTATTTTTAGTATCTGACCGTCTTGACAAGCTTAAGTTCAGTTGTTGGAGTATTAACACTGTGTAGACTTACCTATCCAGTATACAGCCGCTGTAGACAAGAACCTGACCATGTTATGGTATTCGTATGTGTTCTTTACTGTCATCAGGCGAGACAGTGGAGACAGTGAGGCACACGCCTTCATGGACAGAAAATAACTGTATGCCTCTGTCTGTGGGTCAGAGATATACAGGCACAAGCTGTCGGTGACCTCAGTGAATCCAGCAGGACAGAGTTTGGCTGTAAACGGCAAAAAAAAGAGAAGCATAAAATGAAATAAATAATTAATAGTTTAAAAACGTATTTTTAGTTATCTAACGAGTCAGTAATATATTTCTCTGGCACAAAAGTGTCACCCCAAACGCAGTGCGAAAAGTGATGCAGAAAATCCTGTCATGAACTAATGTCATTTATTCAACTTCTAAAATGAATTGTGTCACAAAAGAATCACTGATTGTACAACCAATGGATAACCTTACCATACAGTAAATAAATAAAAGCCAAAACTTAATATTCTGTATAGTATCACCTGACTGATAATTATGATACATACAAGCATATACCAGAATGCCAACCCTGTGTGCGTACCTGCCCGTTGACCAGCGTGTCCACATATTCCACACTGCATCACTCTAACATAAAATAATGCATCGAATTTAACGCTGTAAACGTACCTGGACACGGGGGACCTCTGCACGTTTCGACCTGAACTAATTGTCCTGGGCAGTCCTTGCCACCATTGGTTGGAGGTGGGCTATTACACGCCCTGTGTCTTGTTCTGTTGCCCTGACCACAGGTTTTACTGCACATTGACCAGTGTGTCCAGACACTCCAGGTCCCGTCCACTGTAATAGGAAACAAAGCCAAATACAGTTCTCTGTTTTATGGAAATTGAAGAGAAACAGAAGTCACGCACGTAATCACCGCCACGCTAAAGGAGAATGTAGTAAAGCACACTCTACATGTATATCTGGTATAAACTAATGGTGTTTTGTAACGTGAATGTCAAACGTGTAAAATACTACAGGTTGAAATTTATCAGTTGATTCTTAATCAAATACTTGTGTTTTCGATGAAGCGATAGTGAATAATATATTATCATTGAAGGTGTGCAATCATTCTGGTATACAGCAATGTACTTCCAAGGCCACGTGTTGGTGTGTCCGCGTGACTGGAGTTATCATTCAATGTGAACTTTTTTGCTTATTTGCTTCAGTAAATGACACACTTCTACTTTAACATTAAACAGATAAGACATTGTAGTTATGTCACTCACTAGGGCACTGTCCTGGGAAGCAGAGTTCGGTTTGTCGGTCAGCTCCAGGGCAGGGTTTACCTATGCCGACTGGAACTGGGTTATTGCACTGTCGGGTTCTATATCTTAATCCTTGTGCTCCACATGTAAGGGAGCACCGACTCCATGATCCCCACGATCCCCAAGCTCCGTTCACTTAAATTGAAACAGATCGTTACCGTCTTATGTTACAGTGCTGCACTCATCGGTAATTGAGTAATAGTAGTAATAGAAACTTTTTTAAATAGTAAATAAGTAAATATCCTTACTCATTGTGATTGTTTAATAACATATTCACAAAAATTGTATTCATATTGTCATTTTCATCCACACAAGTGGATGCATATGTTACAGTGGAATAAACTATAAACTATAATACGTTTTAAGGGAGTATTACATACAAATAATCCATTTACAGCAGTTCCCACTAGGGATAAGTGTAACAAGAAAAGGACTCAAATAGCACAGAGATTCGCCAAGGCAAGCCAAGTTTCATTAATTTTAATTAATTAAAATTATTAATCAAAGCATAGGTTTAGAGTCGAGCTATGTGTGATGCAGTACAATGATGTGCTGTAAAGAGCACGTGTAAAGCAAAATGGGCACATATATAATTAGCCCATACCTGTATTATATTCACACAAGAAGTTGGAATTGAGTTCACATGGGTAATCATGCAGGTCTTTGCCCCCCATTACTTTAATTGCTATACAGTCTTCTAATCTTTCCGGATTTCCTGGTTCACCGGGGGACCATAAATTTCCCTCCACCTTGGTACCCTTGGAATACCAGATCCAGTAGCCGTTCCCCTGGGGTTCTCTTCCATCCACCCAAGTGGCCCACGTTTCGCCTGAAAACAGAAACAAACGTACTACATGGTGCATTGGACTACTACACAAAACGAATGCGCTCTCGAAATGTTCATTACAGTTGGGAAATTCATACATTTAAGACCACAAATATACGAGACAGCAAACAAACAAAACTCAGTCAAAAAACCCATACTAGCGAAAAAATTGCTAACCGGCGTTTGCTATCAGATAGTTGTAAAAGGCATCTCTCCTTCTGGTTGTATCTGGTACACCTAAGTGAGCTCCCTCCCTCTCACATTGGAGGCGAGCCTGGTCCCACGATAGCTTGATATTCCGCTCATAACGCACACAAACAGAGTCGACCATTACATAGCGGGTTGGACAATATGCTCCAGTTATCCCGGGCGCCATAAAGCAGGAAAAGATAAACCACAGAAATATAGTTCTGTGACTGTCATCCATTTCGGATAGTATGAAAAATATAGTGAGCCTAAAACAGCCATCAGTGTCCTTTTGCGTGATATTGTTACCTTACATCGATAGTGAGGCTACAGGTAAAAAATGCGACAATGATAACAGCTCTAAATGCTATCTTTACACTGGTAAAACAGCTGTGCTAGGATATCTTCGTTCAGATGCAATGCCTTTCGACAAGAACAAAGTCCTTGGCTCTTACTTAGACGTACATGTGGGATTGGCCTTAATTTTCATATGATCAGCTTCCAGTGTGTTAGCTGTAACTTTTTCTGATTATCAGATACGTAGATTCAGCACATATAAAGCACAACAGGTACGTCCATTACGATATTCTTCAACATGGAATCGGTGCTTAAATGAGAACTGCAATAAAGAAAACATAAAATGCATTATTAATTTTGTTAATGATTTTCACTCTTTTTATGTTCGTGGCTTAATTGGTGTCGAACACCGCCATTATTATTCTTAATCATGGTAACAAATACCCACAATCATATTGAAAATGGTTAGCTTAATATATGTGGTTTGTTAATTATTATTTACATTTATTTCTAATTAATATTTGTGGTTTCAGATTTTATTTACTTTGTAAACAGCGCTGAGATGCATGTGTAGTGCCGCTTTAAGCGTTTGCCAAAAATTCCTTATCTCACCCACAACCCAGTGGGCAAAATACAGAATGGTATAGAATTTATGAAGCTAATTTATCATAGGGCTCTGTGCCTGTTGTGGAGGATGTCATGACACCAGGGAATTGTGGGTAGATTGAGGTACATGTATCCCATAGTGTACCATTACAATTCCTAAAGGAACACGGAGCCCCAATTGGATTTGCCGAAAATGGGAAGAGTTAATTACCTGACATACTAAAAGCTGACGAGAATTACCCAAGGTTATTGAAGGAAGAACAATAGTTTTAAACTGGTATAAAATTCATATTAAAAACAGAAAAGTACTTCCTTGGTGTTTTTCAAAACAGATTTTCAGCAGTTGGAATTAGCTGTCTAGAATAGATTTTAGCTTCAATTTTGTTTTTTTTTCCATCTGCTGTTTCAAGAATTGCTATCACATAATTTTTATTATATATATATATATATATATATATATATATATATATATATATATAGCATCTGTAAATGTCCATTAGATAATTTTAGTGCAGTTACACGCTTTATTTATGGTCACCAAACTTGTTCACAAATCGGAGAGATAAAACATTAAGTCAGCTAGCATGGATGTCATAATAAGAATAAGGTGTTTCTAATATGTTTAAAATGCTATGGATATGAAGTTAAAGAGACCTTTAAACTTTAAATATCTAGTCGCATATGTTAAACTAGATAAGATTTCCTCTGAATGTTCCAGTCCTACAGTGTTTTTTTAAGTGGGGTTTACAATTATAAGATAGAGGTGCTTTATACTCGGCGCAGTCCATTTTACATCTCAGTGAAGCATATATAGTACCGCATCAAGTTTTTTTTAATCCCATCCCAATTATTATATGTAAGATGATTTTATATGTATCTGCTTAATAAAGAAAATCGTTTGTACATTTATTAAAATAACATTTTTGTCATTTCCTGTTCAATTTTGTACTTTAAGAAACAGTGTTTCTGTCATCGCGATCTGAACTCTCGTGACGCCACTGGTGACGTTAGCGGGCGGGGTCCTTGGCATGTCCAGCCTGCAAGAAATGCGCAAACCTTTTATTTGTTGATGGTGGATCGCAGAAAAATTGATTATGATCGAAGTAAAAAAGCTTGCAAAATAAAATCTCAAAGTTTTGGTTTAACAGGTATGTACGACACCAGCTGGTTGTATTTTTTTTTTCGCGAAGTCGCACCCATCTTTTATGTCGTTCGACTACCTTAGAGTTGCTCGAGTTAGACTTGCTGGCTTATTGATTTTTTCTGACTCAAGTGAAACTGCAGGTCATTGGTTATATATGATACCCGGTCAATTATCTTGTTTTGAATATGTTTTTAGTTCTCTCCAGCGTGTAGTTGAGCGGATGATTCATTGTCGTCAACAAACCTCTAGACAATTTATTAGTATAATTTATATAACTGTCGTCTAAATTCTTGCACCATATATGTACATTACAGCATGAATTTGTTAAAAAAATACTTTTGGAAAAAGAATGATTCTATTTTTCCTAATAATGCTTGACAAAAACGTTTACATGAAAGTTTATCATTTGTTTTTTTTGTGTACTTGTAGTGTATATTTTATCAAGCACATCCAATGAACATGCAATTGTAACCTTTCAAATAAAGTAACAAACCGCAAAGACCAAAGAACAATTTCAGACCTATAAAGAATAATTGTTGATCAATGTTAGTCCATTAAGCGCCATTAAGTTTTGTGGTCCTCTATTTTGCTACTGAAATATGACCGCTCGAATTCATCGCTATCCTACTTTAGAAATGACACGTAAGATGACTGATTTTTATGTTGCTTAATGCTGATGGTTGTTCAATCATACAGCCCCTTGAGACAATTTCATCGTGACTCAATGTCATTGATAAACATTCCAATGATACGTCAGTATTAGTAATTTGCGACTTACATGCACATAGGATGTATGGGAACCAATAATGATGATTCTGTGACACTAAGTTAAAACGATGTACATTGTATTTATAGAGTTATATGTATACTCGATGACAGATCTTTGTTCGGTTCGCCTAATGTAAAAACCATGTCTCGTTCGCATGTTAAACAGTGTCCGAAGGTTTTCGAGAGAAGGTAGCTAAAATGGAGAAGAATCACGCCATACAGACTGTCATGGTCAGACCAGTAATGAACGTTTCTAAAGGACCGATTAGGCCTATCCGGAAAAGCGAGGTGGAGTTGTCATTTTACAGTTCTCTCTTTCTCTCTCTCTCTCTCTCTCTCTCTAAGACTGCCTGTGCACTTTTCAAAATCACTAATCTATAACCCATTATAATGATAATGATGAAAGTATGATAATGACATTGCAATCGTATTCCGTTTGTGAAGATGAGTTATCACCGTAGCAACAAAATAGTAAGTAGCCAATGTGTCAGTTATCAGGGCTGTTGACGGAGGGAGCATTATAAACAGGCTACGCCAGTCTTTTCGATTGCATTACTTAGGTTGTTTTCAAACCTTTGCTTAATTGAATTGAATTCCGTTGATAGGGCGTGCATCTAAATAACTGCGTTTAAGCAGGGGGGGATTGAGGCCGTCTTCTGAGTCTTCTAGAAGACGGTCAGTTTTTCAAGTTTACATGTACATTGATGGGTATGTAATTTTTTCTGTCGGAATAAGGGTGGAGAGTTTGCTGTTTTTTCCTAATATTATGAAGGATTTAAGTTATATTTATTTTCCTTATAGTTGGCGTGATTGTGACGTATATGTATTTTCAACTTTGACTTTAAGTGATATCCAGATTGGTTTTAATATTATATTTTAACTAGTAGTGTATTTTGTTGTACGTATTCATCAGAATTTCAAGTAATAAAAAAAACAGCATGGAAAATAGCTTTTTCTTACACGGCTATTACACAACTACCTTTGTCTGAAGCAGTTAAAGATTTATTCCTTTAAATAATTGATGGACAACACATGCGTGTATATCTACGTTTGCAAAAGTTCCTGACTTGGGTATGCATTTGGGATTCATTTAGATTAATTAAAGGAAATTAAATATAACAGTGGTCTTTACATTAAGACGTTGCAGTTACCAGTCTTGCTGTTTATTTAGGTTTGTGGACTCAGATAAAGTTACTTCTCACCAATTCCAAACACCAAAACTGACAAAAGCTTTCAAAGTTTCAATACATGTTTTATTCAATTAAGTTTCTGCCCTCGAGCCACCGACTAAAAAATACTTTCTCCTCTTGTGACACTTCTCTTCAACAAAACTCATTCACATTTTAATGTACATAAAAAGCTTGGCTTTTCTATCACTCTTTTTTTAAACAATTCCGGATATACAGAATTATATACAACAAAGGCTTGCATGTAAATGCAATTTGAGATGACACTCTGCCTCAATTTATCATCTTAAATTGATATTTTTTTGCTCTACATATGCATTTTTGTGATAATGATAAATCAATTAAAGCTCTGAATTGAATTTTTTACTTATTTAGCTGAGAAAAACAGGTTTGCATACTAAAAATATACTGAGCAAAGGCTTCTATGTAATGTAACTCCCGATTATGCTACAACTGAGCATACACACACTGGACAATAGAAGTGTCACCCCTACTGAACCAATACTTTGGGGGAGATAAATGACTGTGGAATGTTATGCTTGTGGTATCATTTCATTAACATCAAATTTCACAAAAAAAGACCAACAACAGAATTCCATGGTACAGCGGCTTATGTATATAAACGCATGGAGGTCATTTTTACGTGAAGGGCTCAGTAAAACATATAAGTTAGATCTACTTGTACACTCATTCAAAATGAGACAGAAGTTGGTCGACTGAAAAAAAAACGGATTGACACGTAGAAAATATTCGTCCTTTATAAGAATGTGAGGGAAACATAACGCAATGAAACTCAAAAATATCCAGACCAGTAGTTCATTACTTTGAGTTTAATTTGAATGATATGTTGCTTGCATGTGACATATAATAGCTGAGAGAATCCCGATCTAGATGTATATATACATGCATTTGAATTGTGTGAGTACGTACATTGTGTTTGTCTGTGTGTGGGGGGGGGGGGGGGGGCTTAGCAATATAATAATTTCCCTTTCTTTGTGAGATAAAGCATCCAAATGCAAATAAGGGAAGGGGGGCAGATGACTTAGCATCATAAATATTACAATACATAAAACATTCCAATAACACTGAGAGACAGTAATGCTGAACATGAGCAGGAGGGAGTTAAAATCAATCATCTAATGGGACTATAAACAGGCGTTTTCCATTTATTTGTTTGTTTACTTATTTATTTTCATCGCAATAACATGTGATATTTTGGTTGCAAATGATGGCCGTAAATACAAAACCTTGTTAGCGTCACTTACAAGGTGAGATAAAAAAGGTTTTCCGTGTTCCTCTTTGATTATGGGGGATGTTATTTATGTTACGTTGCATCGTGTTATTAGGCTTGGGACTATTTTGGAATAAGTACACAGAGAACCAAGCCATTTCTGCTGTGTTGAAATTACAAAATAGGTGAAGCAAATCGTAGTTTCACGATTTATGAGATAATTGTTCATTCAATAAGGAATATGTATAGCTGTTTTAATCTTTTCCAGACAGAACTAATGGAGGAAAGCCTTGAGAAGGAATTCGCCACCAGTACCACTGCACACGGCTTTGCCAGGGCAGCGGCGTCTAAAAGCATCTGTAGAAGGATAGCCTGGGTGGTGTTCATTTTAGCAGGATTGGGGATGGCCACGTGGATGATCAGCCTGCGCTTAATCAACTACTTTACTTACTCCACATCCACGGAGATAAAAATCACCTTTGAACCTAGGCTGGCGTTCCCGGCAGTTACCATATGTAACTTCAACAGGTCTGTGTTCGTATATTACATAACCCCCACAAAGTTTTCCATCAAAACAGATTTAACTTTGATTTTAAGGCAGATGCAGTGTCTTCTGTTGATTGAATAAGGGATTTTAAATCCAGGTGGTTGTAATTCACGTTTTGGAGATAATAATAATAATTATAATAATAATAATTCGCTTCTTAACATGTGGCCCAATGCTTTACCGTATAGTAAAACTAAAACAGATAAATTAAACACTAATACAAATCCGTTAAAAGTATCGAATACTAAAAATATTATATACCAAAACTGAAATATTCTTTAAATAAAAAGGGTTTTTAATTCTTTTTCTAAAACAGAGATAAGAGTCATTAAAAGCCAGATTTAATTTGTTAATAAAATTGGACCATAAATTTGATGTGACCATGAGTCTTTTTGTATCATTTCGCCTTAGATGAAATTGACCACTGGATGAAAAAATTCCATTTGGAATAACATACATGTATTTTTATATTGTACAGGTAAAATGACCCAGTCAAAACAAATATCTTTTCATATTTGTGATGTTATGACAGTAATTGCAATTATGTTTCTATTTAAAGGTACATGAAGAAATTCCTGACAACAGCCGACTATTACGTCATACAAGCGACAAGTGCGTCGTCAGATTACTACGAAAACTATTACAATAATTACGATGGTTACGGCAGCTACGATTATGGATCGTCGAGTTATTCCGGACCGTCGGGCTCTTCCGGATCGTCGGGCTATTCTAGCAATTCGGACTCAACCGGATCGTCGGGATATTCTAGCAATTTGGGCTCTACCGGATCTTCGGGCTATCCTGGGCCTTCGGGCTCTGTTGGATCTTTGGGTTCTACTGGATCTTCGAGCTATCCTGGACCTTCGGGATACGCCGGTTCCACGGACTCTACCGGATCTACGGGCGATACTGGGTCATACCGTTCTACTGGCAGTTACGACTCCTCTGCCCAGTCCGGCAATGATGTTTCCTCCAGATCAGCTACTTCCAATGGAATGTGGGCGAATATATCAGAGCTGTATCCAAACGGATTCGATTTTGGGAACTTCAGCATGGAAAAGGGCTGGCAATTGACCAATGAAACTGTACTGGAATGTGAGTTTAAGGGAAGGTCGTGTGACCTTGACAAGGATTTCCAACATGTCTTCTCTTCCTATGGGAACTGTTATACCTTCAACGGCGAACTCCATGCGAGGAGATCGAGATATCAGGACCAACCGGGGCTTGGTAACGGCCTGCACTTGGTTCTTAATGTAGAACAGGTAGGAGACTTTGTGCGATTTATAGAGCTTATCCATCGATCACCTGAGCTCCGTAACTCGAAAGCATCGCGAATTGCGATAGCCATATCACCTTTCATTTCGAGGCTATTACATGAGCAAGCAAATCTCGAGTTATCGAATAGAGACGCTTGCGCTTGGTCGCAATTCGCAATGCTTTAGAGCGAGTTACGGAGCCCTGGTCACCACTTTTTGCGTCCTGCGCGTTCGACCAGATTCGTTGAAAATGGCAAAATATTATAGTGACCGTTTCTTGACAAAGCATTATTTGCGAGTTGCTGAAAGAAGCGCTCGTAATAAGTTATGTTTGTTGGGTATGTGTCAACAATTTTAAACTAACGTTTTGTGTGGATTTTACATGCTTTCAACTGCCATACAATGTTTCATATGATTTCGCTACCGAATATTCCAACACTAAACATTACTAAATCATTAGGATTTCTGATGCTCTTCCAAAGTTTTGCAAAAGTTGTCATAAAGTCGGGGAGGGGGGGGGGCTTGGAATGCTTTTTTTTAGTAGTGACATTTATATACACTGTTCAAGTAACGTGAGCATAACTTCTTTTCAATGCTCTTTTTTTCTTTTAAATAAAAAGAACGAATATTTGGACGATGTTCCCGACGAAACGGAACAAATTGGGATTGTATTTCAAGTCCATTCACAGTATGAGCCGCCACTAATGGAAACTAAAGGGTTGGGAGTTTCTCCAGGATTTCACGCCTTTGCCGGGTTGAAACGATTGCAGGTAAAGTGATGCTTTATCAGAATTGTAGTATGAAGAAAATATTGATATTCTAACATTAAATAATATGTCTATACACCACAAAGCAACGGAGACGATGGGTAAATAGAATGGTAACAGGTATAATAATGGTAATGATGATATTAGCGACAATTATTAAAACAGAAGGGGGATAATTAAACAGTGACACATGATATGCAGTGCATGAAAACTTGTAAGTTCTATCAAACGTGGCGTAATGGTTATTTAGATTTAATAGTCAGCTCCTTACATAGTGTATTATTCATGGACCTTAATTACCTTGAGTTGGAATTTTCTTTTATACTGTTTGAAATATAGTAACATATACGAAATATGGTAAATGAACGATATGAATCAACAAGATAACACACATTGGACATTTTTGTGGGTATAAATTAATTATTCTAAGGATTGAATGTGGTGTAGATATTAAAATACTGTTTCAGGAACAACTTTATGGAATTTGACGAGGAATAATGGAAAATAGTTTTTAAATGATGGTCATTTTAATCCTTACAGACCGTCAATATTGAGCCGCCATGGGGGAAGTGTAACAAATCTCTGCGTCTGGATCATTACCCCCAGTACACGTTCTCTGGGTGTATCATTGAATGTAAACTTCAGAAGACTGTGGAAAAGTGCGCCTGCAAACCTTTAGAATACCCAGGTATGCCTCGCTCTTAAAAAAAAGAACTCAGATGAGACTGCTTAAGTTGTAAAGCCAATTACGTGAATTAACCTTACGGTAATGGTGAAAGTTTTTTTTTTTTTTTTTTTTTTTTTTTTGCAAACGGTCGGCTAAGTGTAAATAAAGAATACCTGAGGAGGGATTGAAAATCCGTTAAACGATGTAAGGGATCTTTTATCTTCTTTGTAAAGCACAACTTACTGGACCAAGTCTTAGCAGTATATGATATATACTATATTGTAGGCCCCCTACATGCTAGATACACACATTGGGCGTTGCCTCCCCTTACTGAGTTGTCCTTCTAGTCAGTCATGTTCGAACATATTTAAGTCGAAAATATAAAGGCCCGTTTAAACGGGATTTAAGTTGGTTTGGTGTGCAAACTAACAGGCGAAGAAAGCAGAGACCGTCTGGAACTCGAGAGAGTTCCCAAATTTCGTGACCGTCGTCTTGGTCATGGAATTGTCGTAGCCTGTTTTAGGTGCACCGCTTGTTGTTCTTTCCTGTGCATAGTTACGAGTGCATCTACTACATATGGATACTTCACATTTCAAAATGCTGCTTTGGTCATTTTATTCTTGCAACCAGTAAACGAAAAGTTTAAAACACCAGTTAAACATAAAACTACATACATGCACATATTGTCCCATCTGGTTGGCAGCTCGATATGGTAATTGCTGTTGGTCATTCCAGGTTCCTATCCTGTGTGCAGCCCGCGGGAAATGCAAGAATGTGTACGAGAAGAAATGCGTGAGTTTATTTAAATGCCAGAACGATCTTCGTAAAATTTAGTTAATGATTATATTAGAAAATCAGCTTGGATTGTTTTATTGATCACTTGAGGCATCAACAAGTATGCTTTGAAGTTTATGATAATTATATTAGAGTAATCAGGGTCGTGGGTAAAGGCCGAGTAGTTTTCTTTGCGAGATTTCACGTAATTTGTCGTGGTTTTTATCACTTTTAAAACTTTCAATGGGATATATCATGATGTTATTTTAGATGGAGACCATGCCAACTCTAACAGCGTCATTAGGATTTTATAAGAAAAATCACTCTGCTGAGTAGCAGGGTTGAAATAACAGAATAGCTCCAGGACACAAAAAAATTATGCTTTTCTGTAGCAATTGAGCTTTAATTATCTAAACAGATCATCTGCCACATACACGTTTCCTATTATTTCTTCTGCATTTCTTTTCACATGATACCCTTACGTCTTTCTGTTTTACTGCTTTACCGCTGTCGTTTTCTTTTCGCTTCCTCTTTTCCCTAGAGAGTTACAAGCAATTCCACATATAGCTGATACCTTAATGCAAATATATACACATTTTTTTCAGGTGTCATAAACCAGGACTTTTCTAAGCATTGTTCTGGGTGCACTGTGCCGTGTAACAGTACCAACTACAACATACAGCTGTCTTACGTGGCCCTACGGAATGCTACACTGCACCATAAGTATGGGAAGCATATTAATCCATCAGGGTATAGCGGAGACTACATCCAGTATGTATCCAGTTTATTCATTTTTCTGTCTTTTTATTCACTTTTTTCATATACATATATATTTGTTGTTTTTTATCTTTTATATATGTTATTACAGCTGATGATGAACTACATGGGCATGAGGACGCAAAGACTTGTTTTGAGGTACGCGAACGATTATGAAATTCACGTAAACTGTGTTATGTTGCAGGGGCAATCTTCTGGCGCTTGATGTATATTACGAAGAACTCAACCTTGAGTCCATGGAACAAAAGAAGGCGGTGGAAGAGTCGGGACTATTGAGTAAGTTCAAACAAAAAGGTGTTATCATTTTTGGGGATAATTCACTTGGATCTAGTATAGTTGATAGGTTACATGAGAAGTTAAATCTAATATTTCGTTTTTAAGTTGCATAACTGGATTACAAGACATATTTTTACTTCTCTTGATGCTGTAAATATTACATAAATGAATGAAATTGACTGTTTTCTATTAGAAATCTAGACTACACATTTTGTTATTCGATTTCCTCGTCTTTTGTTTTAGTAAGTATACCCAAAGAAATATGTCTTAAGCTCTTTGTTCTTACTTTCAGGTGATATCGGAGGTCAACTGGGGCTATTCATGGGGTTTAGTGCACTCACATTTATAGAGTTTTTCGAGTATATCATTCTCAAATTTCGCAGACTGACACGCAGAAGAAAGCTCATTGAGCCTATAGTTTGAGGAGGGGTGTAAAGGAACTCAAAAACTTTGGTACCACACACAGACTATTGATATAATATAATTAAACTTTACTTGTTGACTTAACAGCTGCGAAATTCATTGATTACAAAGAATATAAATCAGCAAGATGTGTGGGATATAATATATTAGCCTATAGCTTGAGTGAAATTTGAAGGTTTCTTCGCTACTTAAAAGTTAAACCATTGATACATATACCATGCCCCGGTATCAAACAGACGTCTGCATGTAATTCCTACAGGGAAAAACTATAACTGCCCTGCAAAGAAATATATTTTAATACAACATTTGGCCATTGGATAAGCATCATATCTCATACGGGCAAAATATATGCATTTTATCATACAAATGCAATAGTGCTGTGATAAAGATTTTGAATTCACATATTTATTGGAAACTCCTGGGAACTCTTATATATAATTAAAACGTTAGGTGAATTGTAAACTTTGAGGTTTGTTATTCAATACATCGGTGCACACATTAAAGTCTTTGTATATATTTACCATACGTACATAAGTGCACGGAAATTATTGTACGAATACACGTTTACCTGTATGATTCCGTTCCTGTGATCATGATATTTCATTGAACTTAAACATTTTATTTTATGTGCACATCTTTTCTACTGTCAGCAAAGTGGTCTTGCGTTAATCAAGTGGAATTGTTATATTATTTCATATGTGACCTGTAACATTGTTTTCATGAAGTATGTAGACTCAACGACAATTTAAATAAATTTGCATTAACATCTTACTCTTTATTATAAAATAAAAAAAAAAAAAATTACACCAGGCAGTAATGGTATTCAGCTGACACAGCGTTTTGGAATACAGATTTGCGGTTAAAGATTTTTAATTAATATACAGACTTGACATTTAATATAGAATATTTCAGTTTCAACGGTATGCTTAGGTAAAAATGCGTTCCTTTTTCATAAAGTCAGATCTCGTATTAGATATCTGACTGGAGAAGTATGTAGTCAGGTGTGTCGCTACCAATTAACTGACTACCAAGTCTGTTGCACTGCTGCATTGTGTAATATGCAGAGATTTAATTGGGTAGTGCTCCTTTGGCCTGGTCTAAGCTGGGCTTTGGCGAAGCATGGTTCCGTCAAAAAAGTATCCATATGTCGGCAAGTACCGAATAGAAGAATTTGAAATTTTGCATGTAAGCGGTGGTTTTGCAGTGCGTAAAATGAGTTCAACACTGTTTTACTTTACAAAATTGTTAATCTGAGTCAGTATGGCGCGAAAAAGATAGACATTGCCAGACAGATTATTGTGTCAAACGGAACGGTCTACGCAGTTCTATGGAGTTATAGTTATGCCCAGACTGATGTACCTACACAGAGACCACGCCCAATGTATTGACATCTTACCACCAGAGCACATGACTCACTGTCCTTCAGGATATGCTGCTGCAACTAATCAAAAGTCACCCATTCCGTTCAGAATGAGGGGCAAATTGTGATCAAAACGCGTTTTTCAAGGCTCTTAGCGAATACCAAACTGGTTTTAGCAGGTTAGAATACTAAACTACCTCTGAGGAAGCCACTGTAAACAGCAAAACAGCATCGCCAGTTTGTCTAATGAATTGAGGACCATGACCTATTCTGGGTAGAACACTGCAACCGCGTGGCTTTCTTTATTAAGGTCAAATTTCACATGTACCGCTTAACTGGTCAAAACAGAGTTTACAGACATCCTGAAGTGGCCTACGACAAGGCGTGTGCCGCTTTTAAAGTGACTAGGGTCATTGGCAGCGTCAGTATTTGGAGTGGATACCACGTTGGTACCAAAACACCAATGGTAGTCATTGATGAAAACCTAAACCAGATGAAATCAAGGAATAATCTGGGAACCATTTGACTATCGTATGATAGGGGGTACCTTAGGAACAATTTTAGAATGAACGATGAGATTGCCCGTTCACACAGAGCACTTTTAATAGCAGGTAACTTACAGAGCCAAGGGATTGAGCAGATACATTGATCATCAAAATTGCCATATTTGAACCACATAGACAATACGTAGGTAGGTCATTAGTCGCCGAATCAACGGCCTGCATGTCCTACAACTAATCCGAACCAAATTGGATAAGTTTTTGCCGTTGCCTGGAATTTTTTCCAGATTGAACTCTAAAAACCTATCCTAAGGAATGTCTCGTCGCTTGAAAGCTCTGGTAGCAGCCAGATGAGGTCAGGTGTGACAGCGACCGTTGCTGTGACAAGACACTGACATTAGTGTCCTTTGTGGGGCGAGTGACTCTTTTAAAGACGATAATTCGGAAAATATGGAGATCCAAAATATCGCTTTCAATGGCTGTCGTATGACTTTAAATAGGCAATGCATTTTTGTTTGCTTCACTGGCGATTTCAATTAATGAACTGATGTCACAATGACATCAAAGAGATAAATAAAAGTCATTAAAACATGATTTTAATCCTTATTTTCATTTATCAGTCAGCAAAACAGGAAAAACTGATGAAAAATAATTTGTAAAAAAATATTCCATATTAAATGTCAAGTCTGTATATGCGGCTATTGGGTTTACATGTTCGACAGTACGCGTGTTGTCTCCAAAGTCAGGTGATGAAGCGACTAGTCAATGGACAAGGCTGACTGAATATGAACACAATTACAAGAAGCAGGCACTAGTCACCATCCTCGATCTTTCTAAAGGGTATGCGTTTATTCTAAATCCCACTGGTTAGCCGACTTCGTCTGCTGTTTCCTTTTTATTTCTCTCGTTGTGTTGGTTTTCCTATATATAATGAAATGTTAAAATATACTGGCTATGATAATGCCAATTATATTGAACGGATCGTCTCCCTCCAATGGTTTGCTTTTGTGGGTCGTAAATTCAGTCGTTGTGTCCACTGCAGACGTTACGGATTCAGTTGTTGCCTCTGTACTTGTCACAGGATCCGAGGGTAACGGATTAACGTAGACAAAAGAGACCGACACGACATTTGACACTTGTCCTGATTGGTTTCTGTCGTCCGTCGCCACTAACGCAATGAAATATGTGACGTTGTGATCAACAGTTTGGTTGAATTGGACAATGAAAGTCTCAGCTCCGTCTGCCGCCAAGGTCGGAGATCGAGGTGTCGAGGAGATCGCCATCAAGAAATTTATTCGATTCCATAAAGTTATTCCGGATATCCGATATTGAAGTGCTGTATATGATGTCGTAGCTCCAGGCTGTAATAATATAGGTATTCAGAAAGATAGTTATTGTAAGTATGTTTTATGCTAACTTATCCATATGGCAAGCTTAAACCTGGCATTGCATTATTTGCATTTGGTATGTTTTGCGTAATCAGCCTATCAACAGTGATTTAACTTTTTTTACAGGTACCGGTCTCATTAAGACAGGTCGACCTTACTTCTTTGGATGCGCGTCTAACGCAAAGTACCATATGGTCTAATTTTAAAAACGTATTCAAACAATGTACTTACCATTGCCCTGATCTAGATCATCACCGGTCGCTGTCCAGGACAGTGTCACGGTTTTATCTTCAGTGTTAACTGCTTCCATTGCCAGGTCGTAGATTCTGCCAGGAGGGTAAAGATCTGGTGGCTCTGAGCCAGGCGTCCAGTGGACATAATACAGAATTATATATAATTTATCATCGGCCTATGCGCCTGTTATGGTGGATGTCATGATGCCAGGGAATTGTGGGAACTTTGAGGCACATGTATCCCACAATGCACCATTACAATTCCTAAAGGAACACGGTGCCCCAATTGTATTTGCCAAAAAATGAGAAGAGTTAATTACCTGACATACTAAAATATAACGAGAAAAGTTTTCATCTGCTGTGTTTGCTGTCATATATTACTTTCATTATGTTTATAAATCATTTGTAAATGTCCATTAGATAATTTTAGTGCAGTTTGAGGTTTTATTTATGATTACCAAGCTTGCTCACAAACCGGAGTGATAAAATATTAAGTCAACATGGATGTTATAATAATAATAGGGTATTCCTACTGTGATGACATCAGAGTTCAAAATGTGCTAGTTGTATGACGGCTACGGATCTGGAGTTAAAGGGACTGTTCAGCTTTTAAAGATTTAGTTGAATCATTTAAACTAAAAAAGAGTTCCTCTGAATGTTCCACATTCCCACATATTGTTTAAGTGAGGCTTACAAATATAAGAGGTGTTTTATACTCGGTGCAGTCCATTCGAGACCTCAGTGAGACATACATAGTACCACATCAAGTTATTTTTTGTTTCGTCCAAAAACTATTATACGTGTATATACACGTAAGCTGTTTTTATAGCGCTATTCTATTGTCAGAAAAATATGTATAAGCACAATGACAAAAGAAATGCTTTGTTCATTAACTCAAAAATAACATGTTATTGAGTTTTTTAAAATAAAAATGATTGAAATAAAAAGATAACTCTTAAAGTTTTTTTTTTGTTTTAACAGGTACGTGCCAACCCGGTACATGTACATTACGGTATGAATATGTTAAAAAAATTCTTCTGCTGGTAAAAGCATGCCACTGTTTTAAAAATAAGTGCTTGACGATAACGTTTAGATAAAACTTTATCATATGTCTTTTTTGTACTTGTAGTGTATATTTTATAAAGCACCTCCCATAATACTGCAATTATAACCTTGAAATAGTCAGCCGCATTTTCAAGTAAAGAAACAAACAGCATAGACTAAATAATTGTTTCAGACTAAAGAATAATTGTTGATCAATGCTTGTCCATTAAGCGCCATTAAGCTCTGTGGTCCTCTACTTTGCAACTGAAATGTGACCGCTTGAATTCATCGCTATCCTAACTCTTTAAAGGATACGTAAGATAAATGACTTTTATGCAGCCTTATGCTGATGGTTATTTAATCATACACCCCCTTGAGACAATTACATCGTGACTCTACGTCATTGATAAACAGTTCGATGGTACGTCCGTATTAGTAATTTGCGACTTACATGTACAGAGGATGTATGGCAATTAATAATGATATTTATGTGACACCAAGCTAAAACGATGAACATAGAGTTACATGCATACTCGATGACAGATCTTTGTTCCGTTTGCCTAATGTAAAAACCATGTGTCGTTCGCATGTTAAACAGTGCCCGAAGGTTTTCAAGAGAATGTAGCTAAAATGGAGAAGAATCACATCGTACGGACTGTCATGGTCAGACCAATGATGAAAGATTATAACGGACCGATTATCCACAAGAGCGAGGTGAAGTTGTCATTTGTCAGTTCTCTCTCCCTCTCTCTCTCCCTCCCTCTCTCTCTTTCTCTCTCTCTCTCTCTGACAGTCTAACAACTTTTCCAAATCACTAATCTAACCCAGTGACTTAGATGATACATACGCCTATGTTTTCACAGTCGACTTTAAATGATATCAAGATTGGTTTTATGTTAATATTTTAAGAATTAGTGCAATTTGTTGTACATATTCCTCAGAGTTTAAAGTCATAGAACACAGCGTGAAAAATTGCATGTACACACACTGTCACCCCCTGAATCAGAGTAATCAACGTTATAATTCCTGATATGTTGGACACAACTGCATGGCTCTTTTTTTTGTCGGACATATCTAGCCTGTCGGACACATCTGGCTCTTTTTGTCGGACATATCTGGCCTGTCGGACGCATCTGGCTCTTTTTGTCGGACACATCTGGCCTGTCGGACATATCTGGCTCTTTTTTGTCGGACACATCTGGCCTGTCGGACACATCTGGCTCTTTTTGTCGGACATATCTGGCCTGTCGGACGCATCTGGCTCTTTTTGTCGGACACATCTGGCCTGTCGGACATATCTGGCTCTTTTTTGTCGGACACATCTGGCCTGTCGGACACATCTGGCTCTTTTTGTCGGACATATCTGGCCTGTCGGACGCATCTGGCTCTTTTTGTCGGACACATCTGGCCTGTCGGACATATCTGGCTCTTTTTTGTCGGACACATCTGGCCTGTCGGACACATCTGGCTCTTTTTGTCGGACATATCTGGCCTGTCGGACGCATCTGGCTCTTTTTGTCGGACACATCTGGCCTGTCGGACATATCTGGCTCTTTTTTGTCGGACACATCTGGCCTGTCGGACACATCTGGCTCTTTTTGTCGGACATATCTGGCCTGTCGGACGCATCTGGCTCTTTTTGTCGGACACATCTGGCCTGTCGGACATATCTGGCTCTTTTTTGTCGGACACATCTGGCCTGTCGGACACATCTGGCTCTTTTTGTCGGACATATCTGGCCTGTCGGACGCATCTGGCTCTTTTTGTCGGACACATCTGGCCTGTCGGACATATCTGGCTCTTTTTTGTCGGACACATCTGGCCTGTCGGACACATCTGGCTCTTTTTGTCGGACATATCTGGCCTGTCGGACGCATCTGGCTCTTNTTGGGAAGGCCTGGTATTTGTTCAGTAGGGGTGACACTTTTATTGTCCAGTGTGTGTACATGTAAAAATGGCATTTTCAATGCTATTACACAACTACTCGATGATACTACAACTGAAAATAGGCCTACTCCCCTACAAAAGAAGTGTTACTCCTTACAATAACAATTATAAAAGATTTAATTTTGCTATGGCATAACAATGCGATTGCCTATCGTCGTATAAATTGGGGATATGAGCGGTAGAAAATTGACCCACCAAGCATAACCACAGAAATACCCCACCATCGATTAAATTTTAACATGCGGCTCTTAAGCGAGATGGAAACATTCATTTACCTAGCGGTTGACATAGGAGGTACTTTTGACCGGCCGAATTTCCAGAGGGTTAATTTGTTCCATGAGAACCATTCAGAAGGTTTATCATCATTATAAACATCCAAGCACATGGGCAAGATTGCCTGGGTAAGGCCGACCGAAGGAACCACATCCAGAGCAAAGAGGGTGTTGACACGCCTTCCTGGTTAAAAAAAAAAGTTTCATGACATTTATAACGTGTTAGGAACTTGGTTTTAACATTTAACCAGAAGAGGGCAAACCATGTCTCTCAGTTAACCGTCAGATGACCGCTGTATAGTTGTTGTTAGGAGACCAGTGATCACAGCCAGGTGAAGTATATATATATATATATATATATATATATATATATATATATATATATATATATATTTACTCTCTATATATATACAATAACATAAACACATGGAGGTAATTTTTTACGACAAGGGCTCAGTAAAACATGCAAGTTAGATCTACTTGTACTCTCATTCTTAATGAGATAGAAGTCGTTCGTATGAAAAAAAAAACGGCAATGACACGTATAAAATATTCTTCCTTTAAGAATAATAATGTGGAGGAAACATAACGCAGTAAGACTGAAAAATATCCTGACCAGTAGCTCATTACTTTGAGTTTAATTTGAATGATATGTGGCTTGCATGTGACAGATAATAGCTGAGCGAATTCCAATCTAGATGTGTATACATGCGTTTGAATTGTATGAGTTTATACATTGTGTTTGTATGTGTGTATGGGGGAGGGCTTAGCAATAAAATAATTTCCTTTTTTGGGAGATAAAGTGTCCAAATACAAATATGGAAAGGGGGTCAGATCACTTAGCATCGCAAAAATTACAATACATAAAAAATTCCAATAATACTGAGAGACAGTAATGCTACACTGGGACTTTAAATGGAAATAACGCTTTAAACGGACGTTTTCCATTTATTTGTTTGAACTTTTTTATTTTCAACGCATGTAATATTTTTGTTGCAAGTGATAGCCGTAAACAAAAAAAACATGTTAGCGTCACATACAAGGCGAAATAAAAGGTTTTCTGTGTACCTCTTTGATTATGGAGGATGTTATTTATGTAACGTTGCATCTTGTAATAAGGCATGGAACCACTGGAATAAATACACAGAGAACCAGGCCCTTTTTGCTGTGCTGCAATAACAAAATAGGTGAAGCAAATCGAAGTTTCATTTATGGGATAATTGAGACGCATTGACAAAACCTTCTCGTTCTCTCAATAAGTGCGCTCGTGTGCGCGTGCGCCAGCGCGCGTCGTGGCCGTTTAACATAATGTATTCATTCTCTGACTCTATAGCTGTTTTAATCTTTTCCAGAAAGTATCAATGGACGAAAGCCTTGAGAAGGAATTCGCCACCAGTACCACTGCACATGGCTTTGCCAGGGCAGCGGCGTCTAAAAGCATCTCTAGAAGGATCGCCTGGGTGGTGTTCATTTTAGCAGGATTGGGGATGGCCACGTGGATGATCACTCTGCGCTTTATCAACTACTTTAACTACTCCACATCCACGGAGATAAAAATCACCTTTGAACCTACGCTGGCGTTCCCGGCAGTTACCATATGTAACTTCAACAGGTCTGTGTTCGTATATTACATAACCCCCACAAAGTTTTACATCAAAATAGATTCAACTTTGATTTTTAAGGCAGATGCAGTGTTGTAGTTACAAATCTTGCATTTTTACCATTATGTTAAAGTCATTGGCAACTAAAATAATGTTAAGACTAGAGACATCTGTTGATTGAGTAAGGGATCTTTTTTATCCAGGTGGTTGTAATTCACGTTTTGGAGATAATAATAATAATAATAATAATAAAAATAATAATAATAATGATAATAATAATAACTCGTTTCTTTACATGCGGCACAACGCTTTACCGTATATTAAAACTAAAACAGGTAAATTAAACACTAATATAAAACCTCTTAAAAGTAACGAATACCAAAAATAAAACATACTAAAACTAAAATATTCTTTAAATAAAAAATGGCTTTAAATTCCATTTTTAAACCAGTGATAAGAGTCATTAAAAGCCAAATTTAATTTGTTAATACAATTCGACCATAAAACTGATGCGACCATGTTTTAAGAGTCTTTTTGTACCATTTCGCTTTAGATGAAACTGACCACTGGATGGAAAAATTCTATTTGGAATAAAATATTTTTAATATTGTTGAGGCACAATGACCCAGTCAACACAAATATCTTTCCATATGTGTGACGGTATGACCTTACTTGTAATCATGTTTCAATCAAAAGGTACATGAAGAAATTCCTGACAACAAACGACTATTACGTCATACAAGCGGCAAGTGCGTCGTCAGATTACTACGAATACTATGACAACTATAACTATGGATCGTCGAGTTATTCCGGACCTTCGGGCTCTACCGGGTCATCGGGCTATTCTAGCAATTCGGACTCAATCGGATCGTCCGGCTATCCTAGCAGTTCGGGCTCTTCCGGATCTTCGGGCTATCCTGGACCTTCGGGATACGCTGGCTCTACGGACTCTACCGGATCTACGGGCGCTTCTGGGTCATACCGTTCTACTGGCAGCTACGGCTCCTCTGGTCAGTCCAGAAATGCTGCTTCCTCTAGATCAGCTGCTTCTGACGCTGTTGCTGATTTAGTAGATGGAATGTGGGCGAATATATCAGAACTGTATCCAAACGGATTCGACTTTGGGAACTTCAGCATGGAAAAGGGTTGGCAATTGACCAATGAAACTGTATTGAAGTGTGAGTTCAAGGGATGGTCGTGTGACCTTGACAAGGATTTCCAACATGTCTTCTCTTCCTATGGGAACTGTTATACCTTCAACGGCGAACTCCATGCGAGGAGATCGAGATATCAAGACCAACCGGGGCTTGGTAACGGCCTGCACTTGGTTCTCAATGTAGAACAGGTAGGAGACTTTGTGCGATTTATACAACTCATTCATCGATCACTTGGACTCCGTAACTCGAAAGCATCGCGAATTGCTATTGCGATATCAACTTTCATTTCGAAACTTTTATATAGGGTGAGTAAATCTTGAGTTACGGAATAGAGACGCTTGTGCTCGGTTGCAATTGGCGATGGTTTCGAGCGAGATACGGAGCCCTGGGCCCCGTATCTCGAGAGCATCGCGTATTGCGAATCGCTATATCAAATAGAGCCTACAATGTATTATATAGGACGAGTATGGGCGAGTTATGGAATCGAGACGCTTGCGCACGTGCGCAACATAGCGAACCTTTCGAGATACGGAGCTCAGGTCAGCATCGTATGCGTCCTGCACGTTCGACAAGATTCGTTTCATGGCAAAATATCATAGTGATCGTTCCTTGACTAAGCATTACTTGCGAGTTGCCTAAAGGAGCGCTACTTATAACTCATATTTGTCTGGAGTGTGTCAACAATTCTAAACTAAGGTTTATTGTGTGTTTGCTACATGTTTTCAACTGCCATTCAATGTTTCATATGATTTTGCTACTGAATATTCCAACACTAAACATTACTAAATCATTAGGATGCTCTTCCAAAGTGATTTTAAAGCGTTGCAAAAGTTGTCATAAATTCGGGGGGGGGGGGGGGGGGGGCTTGGAATGCTTTTTATTAGTAGTAACGTTAATATAAACTGTTTAAGTAACGTGTGCATAACTTATTTTCAATGCTGCTTTTTTCCCTTTAAATAAAAAGAACGAATATTTGGACGATGTTCCCGACGAAACGGAACAAATCGGGATTGTATTCCAAGTCCATTCCCAGTATGAACCACCACTGATGGAGACGAGAGGTTTGGGGGTTTCCCCGGGATTTCACGCTTTTGCCGGGTTGAAACGATTGCAGGTAAGGTGATGCTTTATCAAAATTGTAGCAGGAAAAATTATTGATATTCTAACATTAAATAATATGTCTATACACCACAAAGCAACGGAGGCGATGGGTAAATATAATGGTAACAGTTATAATAATGGTAATGATGATATTAGCAACATTTATTAAAACAGGGTGGGGGTAATTAAACAGTGACACATGATATGCAGTGCATGAAAACTTGTAAGTTATATCAAACGTGACGTAATGGTTATTTAGATTTAATAGTCAGCTCCTTACAGTGTATTTTTCTATTATTCATGGACCTCAATTACCTTGAGTTGAAATTTTCTTTTATACTGTTTGAAATGGTAAAATATATGAAATATGGTAATTGAACGATATGAATGAACGAGCTTTCATACCTTTAACATTTTAATGTGTATAAATTATTCAAAAAATTAAAATGTGGTGTAGATATTAACATACTATTTCAGAAATAACTAGGAATTTTACGAGGAATTATTGAAAATAGTTTTTAAATGATTGCCATTTTCAAATCCTTACAGACCGTCAATATAGAGCCGCCGTGGGGGAAGTGTAACAGATCTCTGCGTCTGGATCATTACCCCCAGTACACGTTCTCCGGGTGTATCATTGAATGTAAACTTCAGAAGGCTGTGGAAAAGTGCGGCTGCAAACCTTTAGAATACCCAGGTAGGCCTCTACTCGCTCTTAAAAAATATATATTTCGGTTTATGCTTAGTTAAGAGTGCATAATAGGTCGTTTAGCCAATTACGTGAATTAACTCTGCAGTAATAGTGCAAGAGTTTTTTTTTTTTTTTGTAAACGGTAATAGATCGGGGGAGTAATGAAAGTCCCTTAAATCTTTAATGAGGTAAGCGGCCTTTCATTTTCTTTGTAAGCACAACTTAGACCAAAAGTCGCAGCAGTATACAGTACATACTGTATGTAGATCTTAGAGCGCATTCTCAACGAAGTAAGCCAGGCTTTACAAAGCCGGTGACCTAAAAATGGCGGACGTACATGAAAGAAAAACCGCCTAATCTTTTAATAGTCTCTCCGCCTCTCACACACCTCCCCACACGTCGTCCCTGCGGGGTACAGTAAATAAATCTCGGCTCCGAACATTTATATTTCCGTGAATATCTTTGGTGATATTATCTCCGTAGATAGTCGATTCATTGCTGCTCTACGGGCCAAATTATTCCTTTTTCGTCTCTGTTTTCAAAGATAATAGAACAGAAGAGCTTTTTTCCTTCGATCGCCCTCAGCCGCAATGCTTTCTTCACCACGAGTTTAACTGATGAGCATGCGCACTTAATATTTCTCAGGTAGCTTCCGCATGGCGAACGGAGACGCGATTTAATTACTGTACCCCGCAGGGACGACGTGTGGGGAGGCGGAGAGACTATTAAAAGATTAGGCGGTTTTTCTTTCATGTACGTC